TAAAAAAAAATAGAATTTAAAAAAAAATTGTGTTCAAATGGTATATAAAAAAGGTATTAATTATTTCAAATATTACTATTAGTACTTCCTCTCAATGTGTATCAATATTTAGTAGTTAGTTAAATCTATAACTAAATTAAAATGGAATATTTAATTTAGTTATATGTGTATACAACACTCTATCATAATATTATACAATTTACTAAATTCTTATAAATGTTCATAATCCAATGTTGTGCATTCAACTAAACTGATATTGAATTTGTTATTCTATATTTTTTTATTGATAAATGCAACTCAGATATATTTTATTACAATTGTTATTTTTATTTGACTGTAACATAATTTATAAGCTGAAAAACATGAACATATTTCATTTTTGGTTGTTTCTTATGCTGAAGTAAAACATGTTCTGTTGTAAAATTTGAATGATAGTCAATATGCTAATAATCGTAATTTGAAATATTATTATTAATATTTGCAAAATCAATAACTTTGAAATATACCTTGTAATATCTGCTCTTGTTACACAAAATTAGTTTTAAACGTTAATGGATTAATAACGTATTGTACATCATATTTATAATGAAACAAATAACAATTATAATTTCATGATTTTGGTAAACGGTATAAACCTCCTGAAAATAACAACTGGTGTTCTCTAACTTTTCTATCTAGAAATTGTCTCAATTCAAGCAAGCCACATTCCATTGCTCCTGGACCTTGAGATGCAAACATTTTTAACATCTGATGAATTCTTTCTAGAGGCATTGAGTCTAAATTAGTTAACATGCCAACAATGTAAGACCAAAACACTTGTAGTTCTTCTTCTCTCTGATCACTTGCAGATGCCATTGCACTTTCAACTTCTTCTTCTTCAACAATGTCAGATAAGGATCTACTTTTCGTTGAACTTTCTTCTTGTAATACAAAAACGTCATTAGAAATTTCTTTCAAAAGACCCTGTGAAACCCAGAAGGTTATTTTTCTTCGCAATACAGTTGCAGGAGCGTGCATTACTTCTGCAAGTTCTTCTAAAGCCCATTCTTCTGCAAAATTGAAAATATGCTAGATATTTTACTCTTATCAAACCAAATAAAAAAAATTTATGAATTATAATCAATAATTTGTAAGATATAAACATTTCTTACTTTTATCTTGAAAGTGTATGATTATTGTAGCATGTATTGGAGTTACATTTATATCTAACTTTCTATCCTTTAATTCAATTTCTAAAGTAACATTTCCAAGATGAGGTTTCCAACAGAGTGTCCTATTTCCTTTCAGAGTTTCAAATGCCTTTACATATTTATTTAATTGATTTTGTACAATTTTAGGTAATTCTAATTTCCAATTTTCTTTGAATGGTGGCCAAAATTGTGCTGACAATATCAATGCAGATGTAGGAAAGTGCTCTTTCTCTAAAGTATAACTAGTATCAGATTGTATATGTCCATCTATCCTCTTGGAATCATATACATCTTTTAACATTACTTCACAATAGTGAAGTTGATTTTCTCCAAAACGTCTTTTCAATAATTCCAAATGGCGAATTTCTCGTTCAGTGTGATAATTTAATTGAGATAATAATCTATCTGCTAATAATGTCCGATATTCATTTACAAACAGATCCTGACTGCCATATACATTTACCAACATTGATATGATATCTGACATTCTGCGTTGT